ATTGATTAAGCCTGGGTTGTCAACAGCTCTACATTGACAATTACTACAGTTACCACAGGAAGAAGACACAGTATCTGTTGACCATGCATAAAAGTTAAGTAATTTTTGTTGGAAGCATTTATATTTTTCTTCACAAAAAAAAACATTGTTTCACAAAGGCTTTGGAGTCCTTGTTCAAGATAAATTCTCCTTTGCAAAATTTCATTTTTCAAGCACTTGGTCACATAAATAGGTAATATTTCAATATTATCAAATCCTAATAATGATGGTATAGATATTTTTTCTGAAACTCCTAATTCATCTTTGAAGTTGTTAAACATGTGATTATAATGTTTTATTTCCTTTGAACTGGTGAATGTATAGTCATTTTCAAAACTCTCAAATGTATACTGTAATTCTCCATCATTTTTTATATCAATAGATAGTCTATATACTTGTTCTTTTTTGTTAGAATTGAATTAATGGAATCCATACTGTGTTTTCATCTTCTAAATCAGATTCCATGCCTATAGGGGCTTTTATCCACAAGATATATGAGCTATATATGCTTCCATGGTGTTCAGTTGATATGAATCATTATGAACAAAAATACTTTGATCTTTTCAATAAAATAATTTATAATTAATATTATTTTCTGTTAATGATTTATACCAATTTTTCATTTTCAAATGCTAAATATAAAAAATATTTTATTAATAAGATAGTTTTACTAAACAATAAGAAGCTATCATTAAGCTAGTAAAAAATTTGCTTTAAATTAATTAAAATTATTTATTTATTTCAGAAAGAGTAATTTTTACTATACGTTGTATACTTTGGTTATGGGATTGGCACCGGTTACTATGGGATTGGCAACTTTTTTTGAAGAATTAAGAATTTTATAAATCTTTACTAATTAATTTTGTTTGAAATTTTCCAAAAAATTAAAGGGGTTTTGTATCTACATGCAACAAAATTTTGAAGATGTTTAAACGCGTTTCGTGTAACTTATCTATGTAACGTGCATAAATTTGGATTTTTGAGCCGGATCTAATATTAATATATAATTTGGCACGTGATTCCCCCTACCCTTAAAACTCAAAATCGGTAGGTGGTGCTGAAATTAAATAGATAGATATTGAAATGTATTATGAAAAGTCTAGGTACCTCCATTCTTATTTGAACAAACCCTTAACAAAATTGATCAAAAATATCTTTGTGTTTTTCCCCTTGAAACGCTTCAGGTGCGATATATGGCACATATTCCTAAGTCAGTAATTCTTTTAAAGTTATTTTTTTTTGTAAGTAATCTCTTAAAATTCCTCCTGAATTATAATTAGAGCCACTTCATAATTTCCATTATCTGGGAGTTTGATTATACAAAAACAATTATTCCTGATTTAATCTTACAATTGGTGCCTGGATATTCGGTCTTCAGATATCATCCGACAGATATAACTCCATCTTAATTAAATTAATTACTTAAAAACTCACATAATAATTAAATATATAAAGTTAGGTTTTGACGAGCATGTTTATTAAATCCCATAATTTCAACACGTCTGAAATCAGTAAACAAAAAAATACTCTTCAACTATCATTGTGAATTTTAAATTCAAATTAGCACTCAAATATTCAAATATTCAAATTTCAAATTCACTCGGTTTGACTCACAACATCTATATTATAATAATAATAATAATATTATTATTATTATTATTAATAAATGCTGTTGACACGTCTGAACTTGAACGAAAAATATTAATATCAATGATCAATTCAGATATATCATCATCATCTAATCCGTTTTCCTTTTTTTTTTTAATCACCATCATCATTATCTTTATTTGCAATTACTTATACAAATTCAGAACAAGAAAATTGGATGAATTATTAGATGTAATTTGTAAGAGAGGGATATTAAAGAAAAGTCGGCTGTGGAATTGGTTCGAAGAAGTAACTTCGCCTGGTGGCAAAAAGATACCAGAATGTCAATCATTGATTGCTCCAGAAGGTGGATCAACGGGGAGTTTAATTGCTTTTGAAACAACCAAAAGAATGATTATTTAAAAATGAATAAGATTAATAGTAAATTTTTGCATTTACTGTCAATTCTATGATTTCTAAGTCTTGTGATAATAAACAACAATAATTATTAATGAGCTGGTTTATTTTTAAAAATAAATGGTTAAATATGGTTTTAAAACATTCATCAATCCACTTTTCTGTTTTTGATTTCAAATTTTTAAAACAATTAATTCATAAATCTTATAATCATACACCATTTGACCTAAAGAGTTCAAATAATTACAAAGTTAATTATGGCAACCCATATGGCGGCGACTATTTATTAAGAAGGGCAATTATAACCCTCTAAACTAAGTCTTTTTCTTTGAAGAAGATTGCAATAACCATTTTTTATTAAAACGAAACGTCTTCCACTAATTATCAAAGATACCAAAGAGAATGCGTTATCAGCTAGTTTGCTACTAACATGTGGACTGGTTTCTTGGCGTCACTTGTACAGTAGCTACTTGGATATAAATTTCAAAATATATGAACAAGTACTTGCTTTGATTATATTAAATATCTACTTGCTTTGATTATATTAAATATCCACATACTACAGAACACATTAATGTTACATTGCTAACAATATTAGATGGATCGGGTATTCATTATCTAGCTCATTACTACTGAAAGTGATTCTAATAAAACTAGTTGCTCCCAATATTCTTGACAGCCCTGTTCTTCAATTGGTGGTAGGTAAAAGTTTATCAATAATAAAACTTTTGGTCAAAAGAACAAAAAGATTAATGGATTGTTTCCTCCGTCCTAAGTAGAGTGAATATTTGATCAATACTCAAACACATAAATTTTGATGTGGTAAGTTTTTTTTTTTGTAATATGTAATTAAAATAATTTATTCGTTGTATTCATTGTATAGCAGATGTTCCAACTTTCTGGGACTCTAGCTACCTTGCTTGTATGAGACTTATAAAAATCAAAGAATTTATTTTATTGCTAGCAAATTTTATGGAATTTGAATGTGATACTAAAGGAAACTTTTGAGGAATTATTTGGAGCAACTACATTCCTTGACGGAAATACTTAGTATAGTGTATCCATCGATACAAAACAACTTGGAGATCAAAATTCATACCCTCCAATTCTGGACGAATTTAGATGTATTTCGTTTGGATCACCCGTTCAATCCTTGGATGTATTTTTTGGATTAAATAGAGGATAAACGGATACCCACGGATCGCACCACTAGTGTGTGGTGAGAATATTACATGATTGGTCCAGATCTCAGCCTAAAAACGGGAAAGACATCCAAAAATTCTTCAGACTTGAAGCATGCACAAAGGAGGAATTCCTTATGAAAAATATTATAACTTAGTGTGCTGGAAGTACTCATTATCAATTTCATTTTCAAATTTTTTTATAAATTTTAAAATATGCATGTTCATCAAAAAAGACAAATAAAATAAATTATAAATAGTAATCCTTCTAATGGTTTTTCTTATCAGCAAATCCCCACCAACCACCAACATCGTCTATTAAATACCAAATTCATAAGTTAAGCCATAAATTTTACTATCTCGTTCATTTGAGTCAGATGATGCTTGTTCAATGGTTATGCTTGGTGAATGATTCGGTTTATAACCTTTTTCATCTGACAAAATTTTTTCTGAAGTAATAATTGCCAAGCGTTTATTTTCTGCCACTTCAACTTCTCTTTCTTCTCTAGAAAGTTTATTGCAAGCCAAATACTTAATAAAATCTTCATGAATTTTGCTAAAGTCAGGTCGGTTTTCTGGGTTGGGATCCCAACACTCCTTCATCAAAATAGCATAAAACTGAGGTGTATCATCAGTAATTTCAGGCCGTTTTCCTTTCCAAATATCCGAAATAAGTTCAAAATTATTATTATGTGACCAATCATAGAATGGTTTCTTGCCTGTAGTGAATTGCCACATTATCATACCAAAACTATAAATATCTGATTTTTGTGTGTATGGTTTATTTGATAATACTTCAGGTGCCAAGTGTGTTATGACTCCAAAGATTTTACCTTGGCTTTCTTTTTCGTGTTGACATGACCCTAAATCTCCTATAACACAGAAATCATTATAATACGAGAAAATATTTCCACCATGTATACAACAATGAATGTAACCAGCATCGTGAATCTTCTTTAATCTAATAATAAATAAATAAATAAATTAATTACATATATATTTATATTTGCATTAGAAAAATCATAATTTTTAGTAATAATAATTTAAAAATTTACCCATGTGAAATCCAAAAAAGCGAAGCAATTTTATCTTTCCAAGTAATTTCTTTGAAACTTTTTGACAAATGATTATCTAAATCTCCATTTGGTGCATATTCAAACACCAACATATAATTATCTTCATCTGGATCTTTGGTAATTCCAAAACATTTATTAACGGAAAAATAAAATTTATCATTTGCGCTTAGCTAAAAGTTTGTAAAATAATATTTGTTAAAAATTAATAATGATATTTACAAAAAGTAATATTTTATAAATTATTACCTCGTTGCATATATCTGAAATATTTTTAGAATTGTTTAATCTTTTTAACACAATATTTTCCATGCGTCTCCCAAATTCCTTATTGGCTGGCTCAAAAAAATTGATCCAAGTTGCTTTATAAACCTTATTAAATCCACCTCGAGCTAAATAACTCCTATCTTTAAATTCATTAAATGGAATCCATTTAATAGTTTTTGAATCTGCCTTATACTGATAAAGAAACCTGGCTATTTCTTCATTTTGACATTTGACAGTTAATCTTTCTATTTTTTTTTCTTGACAAATACTACATAATAATAATGTTTCATTTAATTGATTATCTAATATAAATATTTCTTTGCATAATTCATTGATTGCTTTTTTTCTGATATTTGTTTTTAAACTATTTTTTAATCCATCCATTAATTCGTTAAGTGACGTTATAATTTCATTATCATTTAACAGCCTTGTTTTACAATCAATGCAATTATCTATTATTTTTAATGTTTCAAGTAACTCATTTGATAAATTATTTAATCCAACTAACTCATATTCATCATCATTTATTTTATTCAACTCGTTTAATTTGTTATTTAGTTCATTAGTTAATTTACTTAGATAATTTTGTTGATCCAACTTATCTGAGGAAATTTTGAGTTGTTCAAATAACTTATTTGATGAACTATTTTTTTCAATTAATTTACTTGGTGGTGCTTTCGAATGATTTTTATGTTTTTCTGAAAAATTTTTTCCTATTTCATTACCATCAAACCTATATCCTGATTTTGGATTCCCAACGTCATTGATAATTTCAGACTGTACAACTTCCAAATTGTTCTTTATTGAGCTTTGATTATTATTATTATTATTATTATTATTATTATTTCTCTGTTTTTTTTGCTGTTCTAGTTGTCTATATTTATCATGTGACAGTTTTGCTAATATTTCAAAGTATGTTTTTACTTCATCCGATTCATTCCTCCAGGAAAAATTAGCTTCCATTGAAATAGTTGAAGTAGTTTTCTGATTTTTATTAAACCCATGTTTTGCAACATAATTTTGGCGGTATAATGAAAAAGAGTTGACCATTTTATGTTTAGGTGGCGAAATAAGTGTTAAAAGTTTTAAATAGAGTTTACAAGGAGGATTGAGAAGAAAATTATCTACATCGTCAAGCTGTGCTTTATTAATATTTTTTTCTTTGATTATTTCATCAACCTTATTAATCTCATCAGCATTATTGATCATTTCCACATCATTATTATTATTGCTAGAATCTAATATTAATAATTAATAGTTAATAATTAATTAATGTTAACATTAATAAATTATTAACGAAAGTCTAATTTACCTTTATCAATTCCAGAAATTTTTTTAGATACTAGGTCAAGATAATATTCCAACGGAAGTGATTGAAGATCATTATTAATGTTGTAAACATTTGCTGAAAAATCCCTAGCAAATTTGTAGAGTTCATCAATAGTCGGTCTTTTAGATGGGTCAACATCCCAACACTCTTGCATCATTTCTGCATATTCATCTGGCATATTTGGTAAAATTGGTGGTCTTAAATCTTCTTTACAAATTTCCAAAATTAAATGACGACCATGAGCTACATTATCAAATGGAGTACGTCCAGAAAATATTTCCCACATTAACATTCCAATGCTATAAATATCTGATTCCTTTGTATTTTCACTTCTTTTTCGAAGAACTTCAGGTGCAATATATGATATGTTTCCATCCTTTTTATTTGATGATTTATCATCAACTGGTCCACATGATCCTAAATCTGTAATATAACAATTGCCTGCTTGTACTAATATATTACCACTATGTAAATTACAATGTATTAAATCCTTATCATGTATATCACGCAATGATGCACACAAAATTCTAAATAGTGTAATTCTATCTTTTAGCGTTAGTTTTGAATGATTTTTTTGTAAATAATCTCTTAAACTTCCATCTTGGGCATAATCTAGAACCATTGCATAATTTCCATTTTCTGGAAATTTAGTTATACCATAACAAGAAACAATCAGTCCTGACTTAATTTTACAATGATTCGATGCCTGAAATTATAAATAAAAACAATTAATATATTTATTTTGTTGAAATGCTCTACAACTTGTATACAATTGGAATAAATGAACCCACTACTAACCTCAACAAAAAAATTATTTTCAAGGTTACTTGAATTATTTAATAATTTCAATACTACTGCTTGAGGTCCAAAATAAAAAAATTCATTTTTGTTTTCATCATAATCACATATGTCTCCCCTTGTCCACGTTGCCTTATAGATAGATGCAAAATTCCCTTTAGCTAAATATTGTACATCTTCAAATTGATTAAATGGAATCCATTCTATTATATGCGTTGGAAGAGATGAGAGCTTTTGGCATTGCTTAATAAAATTATCAATAGTTTCATTTCCTGAAGTCCAAGTATCAAAAAGGGTTTGAAGGTGTAAGCAAATGCAGTTTTCACAAAATCTGTCGGAATACCTTGTTACTTTACATTTGTTACATTCTTTTGGTTCTCCCCTTTGATAAATTGCTTTTTTTAATTCAGATTCATAGGTGAATTTTTCCTTGCAATATTCTTTTTCATTTTCCGAAAGTTCTTCCGAAAGTTCTTTGCTTTCAACTACTGTTAAAAATGTAGCTTTAAGAATCTCTTCAAAAGTTCTTGACAAATGATTATTATAAATCTCATCTGCAATTTGTATGGTATTATTAATAATTTCGTTATAAGTTTGATATATAGATTCTGTTCTGTCGTTTAATATTAATTTATGAAATGACATTTTGAGAAATTAGAATCCTTATTAAATTAAAATACTTTTCATTACAGTGTGTAACATGGAAAATTTTATTATTATTGAAAAACGTAATTTACCAATATTGAATAAACACCTGCACCATCCATCACCTTTATTGGATAATGATAAACAAATAAATCATCCTTTCACCATCCATCACCTTTTTGGACATGAAAAACATCGTCTTATTACATATACATACACGGACAGACTCGATAAGTCAGCCCGCAGTAATCAATTGTTTAAAGTACTCAATAGTATAAATTATGCGGCTGACTTATC